GGGATAAGGTAGTTTGATTAGTTTAGGCAATGTGGCCTTGCCTTTGGCCCTCACAAGATGACCAATTTTCAGCTTCAGCAACAGCCTGCATTTGCCTGACATGCACTCACTTTCCTGCACAGCTTCCCATTTTTTCTCACACCCTGGGTTCCCCGGTGGCTCCCACAGCAAGCACGGGTCTGATCGCAGCTCCTGCTGTTCCCAAAGGAACCTACATGAGAGAGTAACTCACTGCAATGCATTTTGGGTGGGCAAGTTTACATGAATCCAAAAGAGGCAGAGGAGGGACAGGGGAAAAGCGGGGCAGAGACGGCTACAACGGTTATGAGGGCACTCTGGAACGTGAGGGCAGAGGACCAGCAGTGCAAACGCAGTCTAATCATTTAGATGGACTATGACTCAAAACAAACTTTCTGTGGCTGCAGCTCAATGGGCAGGCTGTACGATGAGTCCCAGTGACAAGCGTATATTAGGAAGGGGGAGAAATACCAGGAAGCATGGAGGGAACGTGTGACTGGAGAAAACCAAAGATGGGAAGGGATGAACAACATGGAATATCTCTATTGGCTGCTGTGAGTTCCTGAGGCCAACCACATTTACCGACATTTCAGGGCCTTTTCTCCCCAGGGACTGCAGATTCATGAGTTCTGAGCTGGAAACACGGACAGTGAACATGGAGGAAACCAGATGCTTCACATGACAATCTCTTTATTTCTGATCATTATTTACATTCATGCACACATTCATCTCAAGCTGAGTTGACATTGAACCAGTCCAGTTTCTAGATGTGCTCCTGTCTAGGTCTTAAGTCTGCAAACGTGACTTCTCCTCTCAGGTCTGTGAGTCACCAAGGTTGCTGCCTACTGGTCCACCTGTGCTTCTCTCACTCAGACGCCAGAAGAGCTCTGTGTTCTGGGGTCCCAGAAGGAAAGGAACGATCTGTGCATTCAACTGGACAGGGATGCAGACTGGGCATGGTGGAGGATGCATGTTGCAGACGTTCCAGTGGCAGCAGAGTTCACAGTGAAAAGTACAGAAGTAGACTGTCCTGGGATGGTTCAGGGGCCTCAGGATCCTCCTAAGGTCTTCGAGTACCTCGTTCCCTAGCTGGTGGTCAACCTCATGGCTAGCAAAGCAAAGCTCTGGAGGAGCTGAGTACACCTCCAGGATTAAGTTGTTCAGCCTGGCAGTGTGGGCCAGCAGCTTCCTCATGGTGTCTATGGACACGAAATTCCTCGCGAAGCAGAAGGCAGTTAGCTGGGAGCAGCAGCTCAGGGAAGGCAGAAAGGCACAGACCTGCGCATCTGTGATCCCACATTTTTCCAAGTGCAGGGTGGTCAGGGTGGCTGCAACGTTCTTGAGGAGTACTTGGAGGGGCTCAGGGCTAAAATCCGTCATTGGGATACAACCCAGAACCAAGACCTCCAGGTGTCTGGTCTGCTCAGCCTGGGGCAGCTGGATCCAGTCAGAGTGTGAGAGCTGGCAGTGAGTTAATGAGAGGGTCTTCAGCGGGGATGGGAGGCACCTGCAGAGAGAGCAGGCAGTTAGATCTGCATTGGTGGGGAAAACAAGGGATGGCAGGAAGAGCAAGACGGTGTACCAAGTGTCCCATGAGTCAGCCTAGTCTG